GGGGAGGGAGATCTGAGCAGAAGGCTTCTGGTCACCCACCACCCTTATTCTGTCCTCTACCCAACTGCTGTCTTGTTTCTGGAGTAACTGCAGGGTTAAGGCCACTTCAGAGGCGGGGTTCCCTGCCACCAGCCTACGGACATTCCTGAGGAGGCTGGAGAGGAGGAAGAAGAATAAAAACACTTCCAGCCAGGCCCGAAGTCCCGGCTCCTCCTCTTCCCAGGTTTCCGGCTGATCCAGCTGGGCCACAGGGCCCGGATGGAGGCAGAGGGAAAATGGAGGGGCTTTGGTTCCCTGGAATTCTCTGACTGGAGCCACACCCTTCTACCCTCCAATAGTTCACCTGCCCTTTCTCCCTTTCTGAGGCCTCCTGTCCATTCCTTTTGTCTCTGGTCACAGGGATTCCCAGCAGAGATTTTTTTTGCACTGGCTGCGTAACAGGACACCTCATACAGCCCTCAGGAGGGGCTGTGTGGGGGCTTCTGAGAGGAGGGAGTCCTGTGCTAGGAGGCCTGGGCCCCAGTGATCCCTGTGGGACCTGGGTAGTTCCCTGCCTGCCCCTCTCTGGCCTCAGTTTCCCCCACTGTACAGTGAGGCATTGACCTCCAAGGCCCCTGGAGATCTGGGACTGGTTATGCCCCCTGTGCCAGGGACAGAGTGTAGATGGGGCACCCTTTCCGTCCTCACTACCTCCCCTTTGCCCATCCTCCTCACACTTCTGTTTTCTTTCAGAATGAAAAAGGCAGGCAATGACCTCCCTCTGAGGCAGTTTCAAGGTACTTTAGACTCCTTCAAGTTACTTTACAGAGTTTGAGACCGTTTTGTGGCCCCCTGGCATCTCCTCTCCATCCCTCTGACTTACCAAAGCCCTAATCCAGTCCCAACTCAGTCTCAGCGGAGTCCTGGCTCGCTGTGGGCACAGCCCTCAGCAATTTGATCTTGTATTTTTTTTGGTGGGACTGTAAATTGTCTAACCTTGGCCTGAGGGCTGGGTTTTCTCTGTGGCAAGATGGCTGGGCCATGGGAGCTGGTTTGCTTGCAGTAACTTGCCTTCCTCTGTTCTGCTGCTCGGTGTAACATGGCAGCCCTTCTCCCCAGCCGCTCATCTTCCTTCATAGATTGATGTGCAGGTGTGAAACTAAGCCCCAAGGAGGCTCCTGGAGTGTCTTGGCAAATCCTTGGGACGTGAACCCAGGCCTCCTGCTTCTTAGGGTGGAAGCCCCCCTCTGCTGGCCAGCAGAGATAATTCAGCTTCCTGCCTGCCACGTCACCAGGAGCAGGAGTGCAGTTGTGTGGCAGCCTGAGGAATCCCCAACTAGTTATTTGGAGCTTTCTTGAAAAGCCCCTCCCAGCCGTTTGAGGTTCTGGTTGGCTGGGGGTTGGGGCTGTCAAGATGGTGTTTGCCACGTGGCAGGGCTGGGAGCCAGGTCCCTTGATTGCCTCCCAAGGGTTTGCTAGTGGCTTCTGCAGGGACCTGAGCTCCAGCATTAGCTTTCTGGACTAGAGGTAGCCCTAGAGTAGGATGACTATGTCTGTTATCCAGGCATAATAATTAGTAGTGTCCCATTTTACTCTAGAAACATCCATATTTGGATAATACATTATACGGTCACTCTGTCTTTGCTGCTCCAGGCTTGGTGGGGAAGGAACCAGGGCTGGGAGGGAGGTGGCCTGGGGCTTAGTCTGGGCCCCAAGGACCCCCCCGCCCCATCCCCAACCACTCTGTCCTTAGGGTAAGACTCAGATCTCTCTTGTACCATCCTCTGGGCATTTGTGGATCTCAGTGGCGCTCTTTCCTTCCCTCACCTCCCTCCTCACGTACCCTTTGCTTTTCCTTTGCGCTTGTACTTAAAGGCCCTCTAGGAGGATGGCGACCCACCCCAGGGAGGTGGGGATCGCTGCAGCAGCAGAGTCTTCCTGAAACCCCATGCTCCCGCAGGCAGGCCAGAGTCCTGAGGGTCTTCCACCAGGGTTCCGAATTTTCAGTATTCCTCGAGGAGGACCTTGAGAGGGAATCCCAGCCTCCTCTTAGGCTCCATTTCACAGTCATCTCCTCTTCCATTCTGCTGTGTGAAGTAGAGGGGAAATTACCTGAAGGAGGGGAGCATGGGACTATTCCATATAAAGAGACTGTCCCAATTTGTCCCCAGAGAGGGAAGTGTGGCTTGTCCTAGGGGCCACTGATACTGCTTTGGCTTGGGGAGGGGGCTTGAGGTAACCCCAAAGTCACAGAGCAGATGACCTGTGTGGCAGTGACTGTCAAATGGCAAGGAAGAATGGAATCGATGAGGCCCAGCTTCCTGGAAGGCTAGACACACACCTGGCCAGCGTTTGGTGATGGTGGTGGTGGGGGATGTTGATACTCCATTGAGCTGTGACTCACCCTCTTCCCCAGCATCCTGTCCTTGGTGCTCTCTCAGGAAGCATCCCCCTCCCCCCAAGTTTCCGAAGGAGTTGGCTCCAGGACCTTTTGCCCTGGGGATTTCCCATTTGCTCCAGGGGCTGTGGGCAGATGGGCAGGCCAAGTTGTTGCCAAGATAGAGGCCTTGGGCATGGAGATCCAGGCCTTCGCAGCTTGGAAGGGAGACTGAGGCTCAGAGAGGGGCGGAATTACTTTCTTCCACATTCACATACATAAACACTCATGGTCACACTTGGGGCAGTAGAATGGAGCATTTGGGCAGCCCGCATGTAATAAGTGAACAAACCAGTGACTCATTAACATCCCAGGCCAGGATGAAAGGCATGGGGGAGGGGCAGACCTACAGCTCTGCTCTGCATGACAGCCCTTGCCCAGGCACCTGGGCTTCATTCAGACCCTCAGCCTGGCTGTTGCTTTTTCCTGCTGGAAAAGAGCACCAGGGTTGGTGTGAGATCAGGGCTGACCTCTATACACACTGATGAGGATCCCAGGGGCCCTGTTTCATTTTCATTCAGGAACAGCTGAGGCCTGCTAGGCACTAGGCACTGGCGATATGATGAGGAACCAGACTGGTTTTGTTTCCTGTCTTCCTGGAGGTCACAGCCTAGTTAGGGACAGAAATACAGAATAAACAAAAATAAGTATGTGTTGAAGTCCAGTGCAAGGAATCAACAGGGTGGTCAGGTGGTCACTTGGCGGGATCCCTGCTTTGGATAGAGACATCAGGGAAGGCCTCTGACATGGTGGGCAAACAGACCCTTACCCTGGTCAGCCCCAGTCAGGTCTGGGCTCCCCAGAACTCTGGCTGTCTTGCTGCCATCACCTGGGGACTTGGTGACAGGGAGGACGGCCTAGGGCTTTAGTGCCGCCTTCTCTCTGCAGCCCTTACAGGTCCCCCGAGGTGTACACAACCCACTGCCCAGCCATGCGCTCCCTTCTGCTCATCAGCACCTTCTGTTTCCTGTCTGTGGCCCTGGCCGCCGAGGTGAAGAAGCCCGCGGCGGCAGCTGCAGCTCCTGGCACTGCAGAGAAACTGAGCCCTAAGGCGGCCACGCTGGCCGAGCGCAGTGCCGGCCTGGCCTTCAGCCTATACCAGGCTATGGCCAAGGACCAGGCGGTGGAGAACATCCTGCTGTCACCGGTGGTAGTGGCCTCATCACTGGGGCTTGTGTCGTTGGGTGGCAAGGCAACCACGGCATCACAGGCAAAGGCGGTGCTGAGCGCGGAGCAGCTGCGTGACGAAGAGGTGCACGCGGGCCTGGGCGAGCTGCTGCGCTCGTTCAGCAACAACACTGCGCGCAATGTGACCTGGAAGCTGGGCAGCCGGCTGTACGGGCCCAGCTCGGTAAGCTTTGCTGATGACTTTGTGCGAAGCAGCAAGCAGCACTACAACTGTGAGCACTCCAAGATCAACTTCCGCGACAAGCGCAGCGCCCTGCAGTCCATCAATGAGTGGGCTGCACAGACCACCGACGGCAAGCTGCCCGAGGTCACGAAAGATGTGGAGCGCACGGATGGTGCCCTGCTGGTCAACGCCATGTTCTTCAAGCGTGAGTCCAGGACAAGGCTGGGAGAGGGGGCCTGGGATCGGGGACAGTGGGAGAGGGCTGAGGGCTGGGCCTTGCCCTCCCAAGAACCAGTAACAAGCGTTATAACAGTATTCCCTGTGTTAAGCATTTTACTGCTTCTGGTTTAGTCCTCATAACAACCTGTCAAGGCAGCCCCAGTTATTAAACCCTTTTTACGTACTAGAAACAAGGTTTCAAGACGGCAAGGACTCAAACTCTGCAGAGGAACTCTAGAGGACATGATCCTACGTATTTTATCAAATCAAGTGCTATTGCTTGTAAAAAGCAATCTAATTTTAGAGATGTTAAAATTTCAAAGAGTAGGTGTCTTGGAATCAATCCAATTCAACAGTCAATTCTGCCTCAGTAGCGAGCTGGGAGAGGCCCCACACCTGTGATCATCCCTAATCCTCAAAGCAACCCTGGCGGCAGGCAGTGCCATGTTCATTTCACAGGAGAAGAAGCAGGCTCAGCTAGGAGGTAGCAGAGCCAGGACTTAGGCCCAGGAGCATCTGACCCAGGGTCAGTATTGAATTGAATGATAGATTTGGGGTTAGTGAATATTTTTGAGTACCTGTGTAGATTGACTGTTTCCCTCACAGTTGCTGTGACGATGAGGCAACAACATCTGTTTTACAAATGAGGAGACCAAAGTAGGAGAGGTGGAAAGGTCTTTCTGTCAGTTGGTGGCTGAGTCTGGATTTGAACACAGGTCTGTTGTAAGGGCAGGGCAGGACGCAGCCACTGTCACACACATTAGGTTTTGGGCACAGAGACGGTTTGCAGACAAGAATTAAGGATGGTACTAGGGTTCTTCCTGCCCAGGGCACAGACCCCTCAGGTAGCAGATGGGGCGGAAAGCCCAGTTGAGCACAGGTGCCAGGGCAGGGTATGGAGGTGGCTGAGCTGAGGGTCCTCCTCCTGAAGGACTTCCCTTGTCATGTGGGAGCAGCCAGGCCCCGAGTGTAGAGACCCACAGCCTCAGACAGCATGTCCTGGCGTCAAGACCCCTCCCCAAAGCAGAGAACATGTACCCCTTGACTGGGTGCTCAGGGAGGAAGTGGGCTACAGCTGGGCCCTGAGGAATGGAGCAGAGGCTTGGTGGCAGAGATAAATCCAGAGTGTGCAGTTGGGATGGTATGGGCTGTGATTGTGTCTTGGGAGGGTGTGTCTTAGAGCAGACCCTGTGTTCTGACCCTGTGTTCTGCTCCCACTACAGCACACTGGGACGAGAGATTCCACCACAAGATGGTGGACAACCGTGGCTTCATGGTGACCCGTTCTTATACTGTGGGTGTCACGATGATGCACCGCACAGGTAGGTGCCTTGTGGGGCGAGGGGACGAGAGGAGGCATCTGAGGGTGCTTGGGGTCTGGCCTACTCCTGTGCTACAGCGTGCCTAATGCCCTTGCTGCCCTTCTCCCAGGCCTCTACAACTATTATGACGACGAGAAGGAAAAGCTGCAAATCGTGGAGATGCCCCTGGCCCACAAGCTCTCCAGCCTCATCATCCTCATGCCTCACCACGTGGAGCCCCTTGAGCGCCTTGAAAAGCTGCTGACCAAGGAGCAGCTGAAGATATGGATGGGGAAGATGCAGAAGAAGGCTGTGGCCATCTCCCTGCCCAAGGGTGTGGTGGAGGTGACCCACGACCTGCAGGTGAGGGGTGGCCCAACTTAGGGACCTATAGGGCTTGAAGGAGGAGGGGCTTGGGGCAACCATTTATCAGCTCAGTAGGTCTTCCCTGAGACCCCTGGGTGTCCAGGGAATACTGGGCTCTGTTGTAGGAGAGGCTGAGGGAGGAGATGTGGGCCCTGCCCTTGGGAAGGTGATGATCACATAGGTAGCTAAATGTAATTGAGCACTTGCTACATGCCAGGCATTCTGCTAAGTGCTTTATATGTATTAAACTCTTAATCCTCAACACAACTTTTTAGATGGGAACTGCAAACCTTATTTACAGGAAACTGAGGCTCAGAGAGGTTAATAACTTGTCCAAAGTCATATCTAAATCCCAGAGTGATATAGACATAGCTGTCCTTTAGATCGATCTTTGTCAGACTTGGGTGTGCTACGACTCTGCTAGAGAGTTTATTACAGCCAGGTTCCTGGGTCAGTGGCTCTGGACTGGGGTCAAGGAGTGTGACTTTCGAGTAAGTTCCCAGGTGATGCTGATGCTGCTGGTCCATGAACCACACAGTGTGAAGCCCTGGTAAAGATGGCTCCGAGTGCCAGGGATGAATTCTGACTTTTTTCCTGAGTCTCAGTTTCTTCATCTGTGAAATAGGGATTAGAATCTCTTGCAAGACTGTGTGAGAATTAAGAAAACAGTAGTTTGAAGGGCCCAGCACCATGTTCTTTGAGGAATGCACAGGGTAGGAGATGGTAGGTTGCATGGATGGAGGGTGAGGGACTATGAACCTTGCCTGCCATGGCCTCACCTGGAGCCCACCTGGTCCCACAGAAACACCTGGCTGGGCTGGGCCTGACGGAGGCCATAGACAAGAACAAGGCAGACCTGTCACGTATGTCGGGCAAGAAGGACCTGTACCTGGCCAGCGTGTTCCATGCCACTGCCTTCGAGTGGGACACAGAGGGCAACCCTTTTGACCAGGACATCTACGGGCGTGAGGAGCTACGCAGCCCCAAGCTGTTCTACGCCGACCACCCCTTCATCTTCCTGGTGCGAGACACCCAGAGCGGCTCCCTGCTATTCATTGGGCGCCTGGTCCGGCCCAAGGGTGACAAGATGCGTGATGAGTTGTAGGGCCCCAGGGTGGGCATGGGATGTCAGGAGGCAGCCTAAGGCTCCTGAAACACATGGGTGCTATGGTGGGGTGGGGGTGGGAGGGCGGGGATCTGAGGTACTGGCCTTTGCCCGTTCATCTGGGTGGGGTGGCGTGGGGAAACAGACCAGGGTTGCCAAGTGTCTGAGCGGACTTTCCCAGCCAGAATCCACTCCACTTGGACATGGGCCCCAGATACCATGAAGCTGGGCCCAGAGACTCCATATCCTGCGGGACTTGGCAGTAGTCACTGTGCCCTGGCCTCAGAGCCCTAGGATCAAGCCTGCCTCAGTCAGTGTTCATATTTATAGCCAAGTGTTTTTTCATCTGTGAACCAGAATTGAGCTGGGGGGGGACAGTTCAACCCAGCTCTATGCCAGCCTTCTCCCAACTTTCCTCAACTACAGATTAGGTGCTCCAGCCCTTGGGACCAGGCACCCCGACAAGGGCCCTGGCCTCAGTGAGGGGGATTGGAAAATAGCTCACAGGAGGGGATCCTGGCAAACTCTGGTCAAAAATCATTGCATTAGACATCATGGGGATGAACTTTTTTTTTTTTCCCTTTTTGAGTTTTTTTCAAAGACGGGGAGGGAAGGAGAAACACAGGCCTTTGTTGCTGTCAAACCGAGAACTTATTTGTATGATTTTGTTTTTCAATAAAACTTTTCCAATGAAGTTTCATTGGAGCATGGAAGAAGATTGGTTGATTGAGAGAGTCCCATGTCACTCTTCTCAGGGGAGAAGGTCTTACTCTGTTAAGCCAGGTTTCTACTAACAACCCCTATGGCCCTGTAATGCGGGCAGTACACTCTGCACAGATAATACCGTGTAGCAGGCCCACTACATGCTGACTCCGCAGATTGTTCTTGGGGAGGTGGTTGTCTCATTGCCTCTGGCAGCCCTGGAGAGGTTGTGGCTGCAGAGCCTGCATGACAGCACTGGCCCTGGAACCCAGGGCGCCCCAGTCCTGCTGTGCACGCCCTCGGTCTTCAGCCCCCAGCCCTTCGTTTCCAGCTGACCTCATTCCATACCCAGGGACAGAGGGCACAGACTCAGGCCCATGTTTATCAGGTTGCCTGACTTCAGGCAGGGCTTTGGAAGGAAGGAGTTGTGGGGAATCCTTTCTCTCTGGTGACCCAGCATGTTGGGTTTGTAGCAGGAAGGGAGGAGGGACCCAACACGATCCCTCCTGAAACAGTTGCCTTTCATGGCCCAGGGCCCCTGACATCATACCTCAGGGGCACAGGACAGGAGGCTGGTGTCTAGGGAGGCAGAGAAAACTGGATTTCAGCCCCATGTCTGCTACTTGCTGACTGTGTGACCTTGGGCAGGCCATTTCTCTCTCTGGGCATTTCTCTGGTTCCCCTCTGCTAACAAACAAACTGCTCTGGGGGTTGGTGGTGTAAGGAGGGAGCCTCTACCTGATCAAGCACCCTAGCTGCGGTTCTCCAAGATGTGAATGGGGCTGCAGAAGGGCCAGCTGATTCACCCCCATTATTACCACAATGGGGTATCAGCAAAACTTCAGAGTTCCAGGTCCCTCCTGTGTTGCAGACACAGGAAACCAGATCTCTGCTCTCAAGGTGGAGACGTAGGGACAGTGACAGGTGTGCTCAGTACTCACTGTGCTTTACCTCACCTGATCTTTCTGTTCCCAGACCTGCCGAGCCTATTCTCCTGCCTCAGGGCCTTTGCACTAGTGGTTCTCTCAGGTCTTTGCAGTACAGCTCTTTGTCACCTAGGACTCAGCTCAAATGTCATCTGCTCAGAGAAGCCTTTCCAGATTGCCTAACATAAACAGCCCTTCTACCTCAGTTTCTGTACCATGTTTTCCCATTTTATCAGCTCCTTAGCACTATGGCTTTATCTACTTATTAGCATGTTCACGTCTCCCCTACTAGAATGGAAACTCCATGAGAATTTGCACCATGTCTGCCTGTTCATCGCTGTGTATACTGCACCTAGATTCAGCATTTTACACAGACGAGGCACTCAAAATATATTTACTGAGTGAATAAATGAAAGGGCTGTGCTAGAGGGGTGCCGGGGACTGTGGGAGCCCAGAGGAGGAAGCCATGATTGCCTGGGGAGATCAAGGAAGGCTCCATGAAGGAGGTGACATATGGGCTGCCTTGAAGGGTGAGTAAGCATTTCTGGATCAAAATAATGATTTGAATAATTCTAGCTGGTGCTACTTTGTGTTTTGCTCCCTTTGTTGTGTACCGTTGAGTTGATTACGACTCATAGCGACCCTATATGACAGAGTAGAGCTGCCCCATAGGGTTTCCTAGACTGTAATCTTTACAGGAGCAGATCACCAGGTCTTTTCTGTCACGGAGGTGCCAGGTGGGTTTGAACCACTGACCTTTCTGTTAGCAGTTGAGTGCTTAACCCTTGTGCCACTATGACTTCTAAGCCAAAAAACCAAACCCATTGCCATCAAGTTGATTCCAACTCATAGCGACCCTATAGGACAGACTAGAACTGCCCCATAGGGTTTCCAAGGAGTAGCTGGTGGATTCGAACAGCCGACCTTTTGGTTAGCAGCTGAGCTCTTAACCACTGCACCACCAGGGCTCTACTATGACACCTACCATGTACCAAATACCACGGTGGTCACTTAATACATATAATTTTTTTCAAGCCTCCTAACAGCTGGGCTAGGTAGGGATTGTCATCCCTGTTTTACAGGTGAAGTAACTGAGGCTGAGAAAGATTAAGTGATTTGTCTGAGGCCCCACAGCCAGTGGGCCTGAGCTGGGATTTGATCCTAGACAGTTGGAGAGTTGCTCTTGCCTTCATGCCACAGAGGAAGGGCAGGAGAGGGACTGGCCAGATCCCAAAAATTAAGGGGTAAAACCTGCCTGTAGTTTACACACGTCTTCTCGTTTAATCCCCACGATAGCCCAGTTAGGTGGGAAGTCATCCTAATTCAGGCGCAGCTCAGTGGCAGGCAGGGCCTGGGCTGGAACCTAGGACTCCTGGCCCCAGAGTTTGGCCTGCAACAGCTCCAGCACCAGGTGGGAGTGGGCAGTGAAAGTAGCCAGACCTGAGTGTGGGGGTGGCCCAGACGGCCCTGAGGCCACACGCCTCCATCCCGGCACAGGAGAGTAAAGTGGTAAAAGGCCTGTGCTTCCATCTCAGATATCAAGCACCCTCGCAGTGAGGGGTGGGGTTGCTGATGTGGAAGGTGGCAGTGTAGGTAGGGGAGGTGGGTGGGTTAGGGTCGGGGTGGGGCTAGGAATCCAGCCAGTGTTAGCGCCTCCAGTGGCCCGTCATGGCCCTGCATGGAGCTTTTCTGCCACCTGGAGGCCATTGTTATTCCCACCATAACCAGCGGCTGTGGGGTCAACTCAGACTCATGGTGACCCCATGTGTGTCATAGAATTGTGCTCTATAGGGTTTTCAATAGCTGATTTCTTGGAAGTAGATTGCCAGGCCTTTCTTCCAAGGTGCCTTTGGGTAGACTCAGGCCTCTAACCTTTCAGTTAGCACCTGAGCACATTAACTGTTTGCATCATCCAGGGACCACATTTCCATCCTGTTGACTGTTGAACGTCTCAGAGATGATGTCCCTGCTGGATTGTGAAGGCCCTAGATGTGAGTGCAGGTGTGGGGAATTCGAGAACTGGAGATTAATATTTTACTGGCTGCCTACTAGGAGTCCCTGGGTAGGGCAAATGGTGGTTTTATGCTGTGGTGCTTAGCAACAAAGGTTCTGGAGTCTGACAGACATGGCAGGAGTCCCAGCTCTGCCATTCTCTAGCTGTGTGACCTTGGGCAAGTTATTTAACCTCTCTAAGGTTCAGTGTCCTCAGTAGTAAAATGGAAATGATGACAGTACTTCTCTCACAAGATTGTGGTGAGAGTTAAGTGAAGTAATCCGTGACACTTGACAAATAATATGTGGCCAATAAATATGAGCTTTTAATAAGGTAAGGTAAGTGATGTAAGATCATATAGCAGAACTGGGAGTTGAGCTCATCTCTCTGACTCTAAAGCCTGATTCTTTCCATTATCCCACACTACCTCCAGGGCAAATTGAGCTGAAGTGATCAGGGGAGACTCCCTGGAAGAAGGGGTGGCAGAACTGTAGAGAAAAGAGGGAAAGAGGCATTCCAGATGAGGGGAACAACAGGAACAGAGGAGTGGCAGCTGGAACCACATGGTAAATTTAGAGCACAGTGAGGAGCTGGTGGGGAGAGTGGGGTTAGGAGATGGAAGAAGGCCTGGATGCCAAACTGAAGGTTGACCTGTTCCTAGGCAGGCTGGGGTGGTGGTGACAGGGAGACCCAGGATGAGGCACAAAGCAGGTCAGAACATTTATAAGAGCAGAGCAGATGTTCATCATCATCCCTGGTCCTCCCTACAATTTCCCGAACCTTCTTTCCTTCCATTTCCCCCTCCTCCCACATCCCTTATTCAACTACTCACCACCTCCCCCTGGAGTTTTCTCCCTTTTTCCTTTTGCTTAGGCCATCTTCTCTGTCTGGTATGTCCTTCTCCATCTCTGCCCATGGAGCTCTTCCTCATCCTTCAAGGTCCATCTCAAAGGTCACCAAGTCCCCAGCTCCCCAGGTAGAAGCATGGCTTCCTCTGTGCTCCCAACGCTTCATTCAAGTGTCTCTGACTGCACACAGGGACTTGATCCTTCACTACAGTTTGTTCTTTCTTGCTTTCTCTCAGTGCAACACAGACGTATCTGCTGAACCTTGCCCCACTCCCATCTCCAGTGTCTCATTTGTAGGGGGCGCCCCGAGTTCACATGCCCAGGCACGGGCTGACCCACCTGACCATTCCAGCAAGAATTAGGGTTTTGCACTAAAATACACATACTGAGGAGTGGTCAGCTTTTGCACTTTTTCTTCGTCTTTCCTTCATTCACCCACTGTTGGTATAAGCCAGAGATCAGAAACTCACCAGGACAGGGGAGGGGGGCACAAGAGCAAGAGGGGAATGCTGAGCATGTTACATAGTTTATCAAGATCCAAGTTTTGTGCTGCAGTTGCCAAATTACATTGTCAGTTGAATTCACAACACTGCTAGGTTTTGGGTGATATCCAGGACACTGATCCCAGGGTAAGAATTAGGAAGGGGATGTATGGGGTGTATTATTGATATAGGTCATATTTACCTGAGATTCAACGTGCCAATTTGAGCAATTAGTGGTTTTCATTGATTGCTTAGCTGGTTGACTGAAACCTGGATTCAACAGAGGTCTATGCTAATTGAAGTTGAAATGCTTTAATATGGAATAAGGGATCCAAAGACTAAGGGAGGGAGGAATGTTTAGGTAGATTTACCCTGTGCGACCCACTCATACAGCCCTAGCTATGTTCTATACTCTTAAAAAACAAGACAAAAATCAAAAACAAAAAAACCAAAACCAGTTGCCCTCAGACTGATTCTGACTCATGGCAACCCCCTGTGTGTCAGAGCAGAACTGCTCCACAAGGTTTTCAATGGCTGATTTTTCATTTTTCTGAGGCACTGCTGGGTAGACTCAAACTGCCAACCTTTCGGTTAGCAGCCAAGTCCTGTAACCTTTTACACCACCCAGGAACATCTTCCACACTCCTAACTTACTCTTACAGAGCCTAGAAGACACTCCGTTCACCAACGCATCAAGAAATGCATTAGTGAGGGAACATGATGTAGTACTTTCTCTGGAGGCC